TAGCTGTATCAGCTTTCTTTTAATTATTATAATTGATATGTCTTAAGCTTTCCATGTTCTTATCTTTGTAAGTAACATACAGCTATATCTTTAAAAACTGCTTTGACTCTGTCTTTTAACTAGAGAGTTTAGTCCATTTGTATTGTGATTATTTACGTGTTTGAATGTTTCTCTTCTCAGTCTTTACCTTCTATCTTTCTATGTCTCTCCTTTCCTTCTACATTTTGTTCTTGCTTTTTTATGGCATACAGAGGAAGATTGTTAATATTTGTTTACTTCTTATTCTTTTTCCATTCCTCTACTGGTTTGGAATTTCTACATCTCATTTGTGTTCTTTTTGAGTTTTAAAGATATTGTAGAGCATAATTGTCAAAGCCACGTTCTCTGCTTGAATTTAAATCTCAATTTCATCACATACTAACTCCACGATTTATGACAGTTGTGTGTGTGTGTGTGTGTGTGTGTGCACGTGTGTTAACCTGTAAAATGGAGGTTGTGAAGTACCATATGGATCATTTCTCTTAAAATCTTATTGTGAATATTTTTCTTAAGGACACTTAAAATTAATGTGTTAACCTCCTCAAACCAATTCAAGAACCTCAGAATGATTTAACCCTGATTATCCTCCTTCTGATTTGTAAGTTATTCTCCAGCATTTAAATTGTGTCTTTTGAACCTCACAAATTTCATATTATTAATATTATTTTATACAGACCAGGCTTCTTTATATTAACCCAAATGTTTATCAACTTGTTTGTTCACCATTTTTTCTTGTATTCCAGTATTTCCTACTGGGTCACTTTCCTTCATCTGAAAGTGTGCTTCAGAAGTTCATCTAGTGAAGGTGGTAAAAAGAATAGTTTTCATCTAAAAATGTCTTAAGTCCAGTTTTGTTCTGAAAATATAATGTTTCTGGACACTAAATTATAGGTTGACAGTTATTTTCATTCAGCATTTGAAGATATTCCACTGTCTGCTGGCTGCCATTATTGCTGTTGAAAATTTTTCAGTCTACTTGTTTTTGTTTTGTAGATAATATTCCCCCTGCCCATGCTTTTAAGATTGCCTTTTCATCTGGTGTTTTGCAATTTCACTGTCGTTTATATTGATCTGCCTTTTTTCATGTATCTTACATGATACATGTGTATGTAATGCCTCTATTTCATTTTCTTTTCAGGTATCCTACTTGATACATGTACATAGCCAGGACTTCCTCGTTTTGTAGATTCAGGTCCTATATTAATCTTGGAACATGGTTAGCTATTGTCTCTTCTTTTGCCTTTACTCCATTCTTTGTAGTCTCTCATTCTGGGACTCTGATTAGACATGAGTAATATCTTAACATTCTCTACATTCCATATCTCCTAATGTTTATTATTTCTTCTCTTTTTTCCCCTTCTGTGATGCATTCGGTATAATTTCTTCATATGTAGCGTACATTATTCTTTTCAAATATGTTCAATCCACTCTTTAACTCTCCATGGGGTTTCAAATTTTAGCAGTTATATTTTTCATTTTCAGAAGTTCTGGTGGGTTCTTTTTCATGTATGCCTAGTCATCTTGGATAGATTTTTATTTATGACTTTAATTTTTAATTTCTTTATACAGCCGTATCATAGCTAATTAGTTTTTTGCCTTATAAATTGAATTATGTTTGTTTATTCTGCTGACTTGAGTGTCAGCAGAATTTTCTTATATGTCTTGAGATCTTTGATTATGAATTCCTATTTGGTTGATGTTTATTTGTGGGAAATTCTGGGACACTAACTTGAAGTTATTTTTCTCCAAAGAGGATTTCTGTCTATCTCTCTTGGGAACTTATGGGCCTAAGGACCTGAAACCACTCTGACTTCCTTCCAGCAGAGTCAGCTAACATGGGATTTAAAAGATTAGCTTCTTCACCTCGTGACCAGTTTAAGTCTTTATTAAAAGATTACTGCCTACCCCACCTGCTTCAGCAATTTTGTTTTGTTTTCATTTTGGACCCTGAGAGATTCCCTTCACTATCTCAGAGTCCTACAATGCATATCAAAGCATAGTTTATGCAACATCCAGGTGATCTGTAGCTGGAGAACTTTTCAAATGATCTAATTAACCTTTCTGTGTGAAGCTTAAACTAACATATGTGCCAACTCTGTACTTGCATTTAAGAATAGTGTATAAGATGGGGAGTTCCTTGCCTGAAGGAGCGCCCAATGTCCTCTATATTTTATTTTGTTTCCTTTTTCTTTAGATTTTTATTACCTTTTCTGTCTGTCTCATTTGGTCTCTTTTCTCCCTTCTCCTTCTTTCAAAGGTCTCCCTTGATTTACCCTCTTACCTCAGCTACACTACTGGATTCAACTAAATTATTCTTTCAAAGTATAATTATTTGTTGAGTCCAAAAGCATTTGTTGAATGAATGACCATTTCCCACTTATTAAATTCTTCGAAAGAGTCAAGTTCTTCTTTACAGATGCTTTTGACTCAAGCAACACTGCTTGGATTTTCTTCCCTTTGTGGAAAACTAATTCTTGATTATTAAAAAAGATGGAAAAGGGGCCGGGCGCGGTGGCTCACGCCTGTAATCCCAGCACTGTGGGAGGCCGAGGCGGGTGGATCACGAGGTCAAGAGATCGAGACCATCCTGGTCAACATGGTGAAACCCCATCTCTACTAAAACTACAAAAAATTAGCTGGGCATGGTGGCGCGTGCCTGTAATCCCAGCTACTCAGGAGGCTGAGGCAGGAGAATTGCCTGAACCCAGGAGGCGGAGGTTGCGGTGAGCCAAGATCGCGCCATTGCACTCCAGCCTGGGTAACAAGAGAGAAACTCCACCTCAAAAAAAAAAAAAAAAAAAAAAAAAAAAAAGATGGAAAAGCAAAAGAGTTCATCCATGAGTAAGCAATGTTATATAGTCATTTATTTATTTTTTAACTAATATAGTTTCTTTTTGGTGAACATAGAAGTTATATTTAGAAAAAGTGTCCTTGTTAAGAATACTTACCGTGCTTCAAAATTTCCATACATTTCTAATTACATAGTACAAAATAAATTAGAGCATTTTGACATTTGAAGGCTAAAGCAAACTGAGTTTGCTAACCCAAATGGGTGTAAGAACCACAACTAACCAGAAATATAAACATCAGTTGCAAAGTAAGAAGCAAGCCCAAGCACCTCCTAAAATGAGAACAAAGATAATAATTCAAGCACTTTGGTTTGTTCTTTCAACAATGTGAAATAATAACAATGGTGGTAACCAACGTGAAATTACCTGTCTACTGAGTTATACTTAGAAGATTTAGATCTTAATAATAATAATAATATTCTAAGCTACAGTGTACCTTTTCCAGATTCACTCATGGATATGTTTTACGTTACACGGCTTTAAGGCTGTAAGTCTACAGAGGTATACATAGCAGTCCCTAAACTATATTCATACATCAGATTGGGTAGTGGGAGTGGACAGGGATATTTGAAGAATTCTTCTGACTCTTGGGTAGTGTGGAGATAGCTCTTACTCCCCAGATAAAATTCAGTCATTATAATTTCTCTACATTTTCTGTATGTAGTGTTTACACCCAGCTGTAGATTCTGCTTCTATATTTTGGGACAGAGTCTCTCTCTGTTGCCCAGGCTGGAGTGCAGTTGTGTGATCTTGGCTCCCTGCAACCTCCGCCTCCTTGGTTCAAGTGATTCTCATGCCTCAGCCTCCCAAGTAGCTGGGACTACAGGTATGCACCATCACACCTGGCTAATATTTGTAGTTTTAGTAGAGATGGGGTTTCGCCATGTTGCCCAGGCTAATCTCCAGCTCCTGCTCTCCAGTGATTGGCCAGCCTCAGCCTCCCAAAGTGCTGGGATTATGGATGTGAGCCAACATACCTGGCCTGCTCCATATTTTCAATGTCCCATTCGCTCCAGGTATCTATCTCCATTCTACATCATTTTCAACCCAAATGCCAACATAAACTAACAAGATTTTCAAAAAGGAAAAACTTGTGTTTAGTGACACTCCAAATAGGGAAGTTTGATATAGACTTTTAACAAAAGTATAAACCAGATTATTAACAATGGTTTTAGGCACATAGAAAAAGTAGTGGGGATCACTAATACCAGAATGGGTTAATCTGAAAACAGATCTTACTTAACTAGCTTCCTTCTTTTTGAAAGAGTTGCTTGGACCAGTAGATTTGGGGATGCTAGAAACAGTAAATCTTTATTTCAGCAAAGCATCTAGAAAACCTTCATGAACTCTATGTTGGTTATGGTATGGTTTCATGAACTAAAGTGCTTGAAAAGTATTGGTTGATAAATGACTGCTATCTTGGAGATCTATTTTGGTGGTGGGCTGTCTAAAGATATAGGGTAAAGAACCCCAAACCAAAGTTTTTTTTATTCTCTTATTTTTTCTATTCTCTTATTCAACAATCAACACAGAAGACTTCTGTGAGCTCTGGTTACCAAGAAGTGTGTGAGAATTTCCTCTACCAGCAATCAACCAATCAACCCTGCAGCAAACACAAGCTGGGTATCTTCAGTTCAATTCTGACACTATCTACCTGGAGATAATGTCAGATTCTACAGGTTGAGGGCTCAGTCCCACAAGACTTCCCTGACTTCAGATGCCAATCAAAAACGCCCCAGGTTGCTTTACTTGTGTCTCTGACTGAACAACTAGAAATTAAGAGTTCCCATGACTCCCTCCTTGGGTTTGGTTATTTTACTAGACCTGCTCACAGAACTCAGGGAAACGTGTTTACCATTTTATTACAAAGGATATTACAGAGGATACAGTTGAAGAGATGCATAGGGTGATTTATGCCCTCTCTGGGAGCACCACCATCCAGGAATTTCCAAGTGTTTTGTTATTCATGTTCCCCTCTCTGGAAGTTCATGTAACTCAGTCCTTTTACGTTTTTGTGGAGGCTTTATTACGGAGGCATGATTTATCAAGTCATGGGCCATTGATGATCTTAACCACCCCCGGAGGTTTGAGGATGAGGCTGAAAGTCCCAACACCCTAATCACACTTGCTCTTTCCTATGACCAGTCCCCATGCTGAAGCTATCCAAGAGTCCCCAGCTATCAGTCAATTCATTAAAATATAAGAAGACATTCATCACTTTGGAAATTTCAATGATTTTAGGAGCTATATGGCTGGGAATGGGATGAAGACCAAATATATATATTTTACAATATCACAGGCTCTTTTTAAAGCCTGTTCCGCGTTACTGTTTCTTACTAGACATAAATGGAGCCAAAGAAGGCATATTTATTAAATGTACAAATGTTATGTTAAAAGTGATCACTAGTATTTATCTGAAATTATGTCCTAAAACAAATAGGATAAAATTTAATAAGAATAAAATAAAAATTAAGATTTAAATACATGTACGTATAGAAGTATAGACTATGTAAGGTGGAAGATATGGTTTAATTTAGCTCATGTGAAATGGAGTTGGCTGTTCTCTTTGAATCTAGGTAGTGTGTTTGCTAAAAGAAAAACCTAATACAGATTTGGGAGGCCTTACTGGAAGGGTATGCTTAGATCAAAGGGGCAGCTGATCAGCAGCTGGAGAACTGGAACTCAGTTCTTGGCCCACTGTATTTGAATGTTGTATTCCGAGTGTACAATTTAGAGAGGAGAACGAAAAATCAAAACACATTCAAAGCAGGGTGAGTAGTGTGACGATGACAGCTTTCTATATTATTTGAAAAAACACTGAAAAGAGAATTTTTGAAGAAATGTATTAGATCTGTTGATTACTTAATAGTTGCTCCTAATATTTCAAGGCTTGCAGTGTCTGTAAGAATGAGATTTGGCCAGGCGTGGTTGCTCACGCCGATAATCCCAGCACTTTGGGAGGCCAAGGTGGGCGGATCAAGAGGTCTGGAGTTCAAGACAAGCCCGGCCAACATGGTGAAACCCCGTTTCAACTAAAAATACAAAAAATTAGCCGGCATGGTTTCACAGCCTGTAGTTCCAGCTACTCGGGAGGCTGAGGCAGGAGAATCGCTTGAACCTGGGAGGCGGAGGTTGCAACGAGCAGAGACAGCACCATTGCACTCCAGCCTGGGCAACACAGCGAGACTCTTGTCTCCAAAAAAAACAAAAAAGAGATTCATTTTGTGTGCTTCCTAGGGGCAGAACAAAGACCAGTGGTGTTAGAGGAATTGATTTGATGTTCATAAATGATACAGGCTTTGGTGTTACGCAGACCTGGCTGTTAATTCTGGCGTCAGCATTGGCTTTGGCAAAAAGAAGGAAACTTCTGAGCTTCATCTTCCTAACGTGTTTAATAGGCATAATAAGGCTATTCTCATTTTAAGGCCTAGGAATAATGCATGTAAATTGCTTGGTTCCTGGCATAGGTAAATACTCAACAAATAATCATAGTTATATATAACGATAAAAATAGAAACTTCCAACACTGGAAATGTTCAAGTGGATAGCGGTCCGGTGGAAATATTGGAGAGAGGATTCCCACTAAAATAGGGGATTGGACTTAGCCGTTAGATCAATTCCAACTTTTAGAATGATTTTCATGTCCCCTTCGGCCTGTTATCTCATTTCTCCCTGACTGTGCTTTTATTTGCTTCACAAAGTAAGCAGGTCCAATCTCTCTTAACCAAATTTAATTTATAGGCTTTCGTTGACTTCTGGAGCTCAACTGACTTTGAAGTTAGGACAGCATGGGAGGGTGGAGGGCGAGTAGCTATGGCAATGAGGGGTTTTAAGAGAGAAAACAGTGTCCTTGAGAAGATGGACTTCTCTTTTAGAGGCCCCATGGGTTACTCGGAGAGGAAGTTATGAGGGTTGGTTAAGGTACGAGAGGCACAAAGTAAAAGCCTTCAAACCACATCAGGGCTTTTGGCAAGAGCTTCGTGAAACATATCCTCCCAGGCAGCCGGGCGAGGCGGGCCTGGGCTTGCAGGCTGGCACTAAGGACCAGCAGTTGGGAGACTCCCAGGGACCCGATGGAGGGCCGTGGGCACCACCAGTTTACCGCATGGATTAGGAAGACAAAAAAAAAAAAAAAAAAGAGGAAAGTGACAAAAAGGGGAAAACAGGTCCGAGGGCCAGAGGCGGAAGAGGAAGGCTGGCTGGTCCTTAGGTGCGGCTTGTTTGCCGCCATAGGGCAGCGGTTACGAGCTGTGCAGCCAGACCCTGGGTCTGGCTCCCTCCGCCCGGGGCGTCCTCCTCGCCGGGGGCGAAGCTCTCTGCACGCTCTTTGCCGCTTCCCGCGCCTCCAGGCGGCTAGTCGGTCCTGCTAGGGCACTTCTGAAAACTCGTCGGCGGCTCGCAGCCTTGTTCCGACTTTGATCGCAGTCTTGATAACTAAGCTCAGCGCCCAGTCTCCTTTCCTCCGGTCCCCCTCCCGCCCACCCGGCCTCCTCGGCCGCTTAGCCTCCGGCGCCGGAGTAGACCAAACTCCGAGGCTCGGCTGCCGCCAAGACCCGGAGAGCGGATCCCGTTCCTGGCCGCGCGGCGCGCGCTCGCCGGCCCAGCTCGCTCGCTCGCTCCTCGCGCGGGCACTGGGCATGCGCGGCGCGCGGCTGGCACTGGCCGCGAGCCGGCGGGCGGCTCCAGACTTCACAGGCAGCGGCGAGCGAGGCGGTGTCTCCCGGCGCGAGGCCGGCGCTGTGCTCGCCTCGGAGATCGCTTCTCTTCAGCTGGGCGCAGGAGGCGGCCCCGCGGCTGGCGGACGGCTGGCGGGGCGCGGATCAGGTTGTGGGGCTTTCTCCCGGCCGCCTCCCACCTCGCCTGGGCTCGCGGCGTCTCCGGGGAAAGCCGCGGCCCCGAGGGCGGATCCGAGGTAAGAGCCCCTTGGCGAAAGGCGCCGGTCAGGGGGTCCGGCGGCTTCGACTCTCTCTCGGTTTTGAAAATCCGCCTTTGTGTGCTGGGATCGGAGCGGTGCCAGGCGCCGCGACCGCCTCCCTTCACTTTGACTGCTTTCAACTGGTGTTGGCAGCCAGGTGCGCGAGGGCGCTGCGGCCGGAGGCGTCCGCGCGCCGGGTCCGGGAGAGCCGCGGGGCCAGTGCAGACCCGCGCCCGGGACTCCCGAAGGCTGGGCACGGAGGGTTCGCTGTGGCCCCGTGGTGATCCTGGTAACCTGAGCTTCCGCAGACAGATACACCTGCGCTCAGCTGGTCCGCCAGGCGACTGCAGACCGAGTATCCCGATCTCGGCTTATTATTTTAGACTTGGGGTTTGTGAGCTGCTCTCCCCACCCGCCTCGAATGGGGAGGGGTTCTTTTCAAAATGACCCTTTAGGGCAGGGTCCCACCCTCGTTTACCCCCTCGAATTAAGCGAGCTCATCGTTTCGGAATCGTTTTCAATTCCTAATTGCTGTTGACTTTCTTAGCTTGCTCCACTTTACTCACCATTTTACTTTTGGAAAGACAGACGGCCATTCTCCGGTCGTGGTCAGTTCATGCATTTGGAATGGGTTTCCCCACCCATGTACCGCTGCTCTATCCCATGTTCTCACTTTTACTTTCTTCCTAGGACTACCTGTTTGCAAAATCATTGCACCGATCGTTCTCCTGCAGTGTTTCTCAAATCCTCCTCCTCCTCCTCCCATAGCGCCCGTAGTACTGTTGGAATCTCGCGGGGGGGCAGGACGCCTTGGTTTCAGGATTTGAAATCCGTAGACATCTAGAGCGGGGAAGCATTAGGAATTAGAATCCTCCTTTACAAAATATGTTTCAGTGAAATGTATAAGTGCTTCTCTTTTCAAGGTTTCTTGACTTAGTAAGGGGAAGGTAGAAGAGCTAATATGTTAGGATGAGTTCAGATAAAACTTGGTTTTAGATGTGTGTGTCAGGAGTGTGATTTTTTTGGCTTTGTCATTTTTGGGAAATAGAGTTAGGATTCTGGGCAGGCTTCTTTATATTGAAAAAATAAGAGTCACTGTGTTGTGCATTGCCTCTAGTTTGTTTTCATTGGAGGGACTTTATTCTTCCCAGCTGCTTGGGTTTTGGAAAGTGAGCACTAGTAATGTAGATCATGTATTAGTGAGTCTATTGGAATTAAAGTCAATGCAATCGTCTCTCTCCTAGTATAGATTTGTTGTTTGGGATCGGAATTTTCTAAACGTGCTGCTGTACTTCTTAAGTTGCTGGTGTGGAAAATTTTTGGTCACGAATTCATGCTTCTATTTACAATTTGAAAATTAAAACAGTATAGAATTGTCACATAAATGGTAAGATGGAATGTATCACAAATACAATAGTGTTAATAGAATGCTTTTAGTGCAGAATACACAGATTGAGGCTATAAAATTCCACCACAAGTCATTCACTTCATAGCAGGAAAAAATAAGGAAAATAAAATTTGCTTTTAATTCTACTATTCTGAGATAACCACTGTTCACAGACTTGGTACATTGTCTTTGTAATTTTTTTTTCACTTCCCAATGTCATTGAATATATATATATATATATATATATATATATATATATATATAAATATATAAGTAATTTCCAGTAAGTGTAATTTAACTTACACTATTAATAGCCCCACTCTTAATAGGGTGATGTTTCTTTTGTTTCCTATGAGGAAGCTAATGTGTAATTTTGAACACTTTGCTTGTTTGTGATCAAATATAAAGATTCATTTTGTTTTTATTCTAGCTTTTTCCTGCTTTCAAGATCTTATAGATACTGATTCTTTTCAGATGTTAGTTCTTTTCTATGCTATGGCATAGGCTTGCTACACTCGACTTTGTATTTATTACTTTCCAAATCCTAGTTGTTTTCTTACACTCTACTTCACACCCTTTCCCCTACTGCTTTTTATTCTTCTTTCTACTCTCCCCTTTCACTTACGTCTTTTAATTTTGCAGCAGCTCACTTGAACCAAGGGTTGTATAAGAAAACATAGTATCCAGAATAGGAAATGATAGCTCTTTACACTTGATCTTAGCCAAAAGGCTGAGAAGCAATGATAGCTTTTTAAAAGTTGTCTCTTTAAATACTTGAAGTTCTATTGGATGAATATTTTAGCATTGATTTATGGAGTACTGACATACAACTCAGATTTTCTGAGTTGTATGAAACATACTCGGTAGTTACGTGGATCATCACAAAACAACATAAGTTAATGATAGGTTACAATCTTTTGGACATCTGTAGAGGTATGTCAGGGGGAAAAAGTGGAATTTTAATTAAAGTACTCTGGCCATAGTAAATCCCTCCTGGGAATTATTAATACTACATGAAATTGTTTGCAGCTGTTAGTGATTGAAAATATTTTTGTAAGAAAAATTCTGCAGTGGAATAGTTGCAAACATTTTAAGTTGAATATATGTAAGAAAGTGTGAGGGTCTTCAGTGCTTTACTACAACCTTCTCAGTATTTTCTAGATGCATTCTTAAATGGCATTTTAAACAATAGGCCATATTTCTTAGAAGTTTTGGATTTACAGGAAAGCTACAAATACAGTGTCTATGTACCCCGATAGCAACTTACTCCCTTATTAATATCTTGTATTAGTATTCGTTACTATTAATGAACCAGTATCAGTACATTACTATTAATCAAAGTTTATACTTTTTTAAAATATATTTCCTTAATTTTTAATGTCCTTTTTCTGTTCCAGGACCCTACCATCCAGGACACCACTACATGTATTTAGTTGTCATGCCTCTCTAGGCTCCTCTTGGCTGTGACAGTTTGTTAGACTTCTTGTTTTTGATGATGTTTTAGGAGTACTGGTCAGGTATTTTGTAGAATGCCCTTTCATCGGAATTTACCTAATGTATTTCCTCATGATTAGACTGTGATTATGGGTTTTTGGTAGGAAGATCACAGAAGTAACGTGCCATTTTTCATCTTGTCATTTCAAGGGTATATACTCTCGACATGATTTGTCACTGTGATACTTATCTTTATCACCTGGCTGAGGTCATGTTTATGAGGTTTCTTTACTTTTCTTTCCCCTTTTCATGCTGTGCTCTTAGAAGGAAGTTACTGTGTATGTATAGCCCATACTTAAGGAGTAGAGAGTTATGCTTCCCCCTTTGAGGGTGGAATATCTATATAAATTATTTGGATTTTTTTATGCATGGGAGATTTGTCTCTTCTCCTCCATTTGTTTATTCACTCAATTCATACTTATTTTGTTCTGGACTCATGGAGATATATATGTGTATACACACACACACACACACACACATATAATATAAATATAAATCTATCTATCTAAATATTTTGGGTTATAATCCAATGCTACTTTGTTTTGTTACAGCTTGGCTCCAGTGCCTCTTTGACATACTACCATCATTATGAGTTTTTTCCTTACTTTCTGGTACTATGAGATGCTCTAGGTTCATCTGTATATATCTTATCATGGTCCTAGAATCAGTCATGTCTCCAAGGAATCTGGATCATTTTGTTGGGGAATGGTATTAGAAACCAAGATCTGGGTGCTAGGTGTGCTTGTTGCTACTGAAGTGTCATTGCTTCTAGGTTCTCTCATGTGACAAAGCAGGAAATACATTGTGTATGTGAACATATCTGTACACATTTTTAATGTAACATTTTGAATCCATATTAAACTAACTATGAATTTATATTTATGTCTGTAATGCTAATTCATTACCACAGGTATCATTATAGCTTTCTCCGCTTGTTTGTATTTAAACTTACTCCAACAGTGAGAAGAAACCTGGCTTGCCTCGTCTGCCATACATTTGCTTAATCATTCATTTCTCTCATAGATGTATAGCAGTATTGGAACTGTTAACCTGTGATCCCATGGGAAACAACTGTAGCACCAAGAGTACAGTGTTTTTGTACTCTTGCTTTAGCTTTTAGTCTCACAGTCTCTACTCATTTCTAGAGGTAGTCAGCTATGCACCTTTCCTCTTATCCTTTTTAGTGAGATTGTTGCACACATTTATAATACAGTTAGATTTCTTTGTTACAATCTGCATTCCACCTTGGAATTCCTTGACCTTCTAAATAATTTGCTTACATTTGCATACATTAAAGTTTATCCTGTTCCGTGAAGTTCTTTGGGTTTTGATAAATGCATAATTTGATGTGTCTATCCTTATAGGATCATAGTATAATATGGAACAGTTTCAACACATTAAAAATCCTTTGTGCTTCACTCATCACCTCCTTCAGCCCCTCTCCCAGAATACCATGAATCCTTTTACTGTCTCTTTAGTTTTGACTTTTCCAGATGTTGTATAATTGGAATCATATAGCCTTGCCAGACTGCCTTCTTTCATTTAGCAATACTCATTTAAGGTTCATCCATGTCGTCTTATGGTTTAATAGCTCATTTCTTTTTGTCATTATCAAATATATTATGGTTCGTTTATTCACCTATTGAAGGATACTTGGTTGCTTCTAGTTTTTGGCAACTGTGAATGAAGCTGCTATGAATTTATTGGGTAGACATAAGTTATCATATCATTGGATAAATATCTAGGAGTGCAATTGCTGGATCATGTGGTAAGATTATGGTTTGCTTTGTAAGAAATTGCCAAACTGCTTTCCAAAGTGGCTGTACTATTACGTTCTCATCAGCAGTGCATGTGAGTTCTTATTGCCCGATGTCTTTGCTAGCATCTATTTTGTCAGCTTTTTAAATTTTATCCATTCTAATAGGTGTGGAATACTATGTCATTGTTACTTTGCTGTTTCCTAATGACATATGTATGATGTTAACATCTTTTCACATGCCCTTTTTCATCTGTACATCTTCTGTGATGTGATGGCTGTTCATATCTTTTACCCACTTTTTAATGGGGATTGTTTTCTTATTGTTGAGTTTTAAGAGTTCTTTATACATTTTGTATC